AGAATGCTGACTCACAGCGAAACATTCATAAATCGAACGGAATATTGCTCTACACACAAAATAAATAAGGAAAGCTTATAATTGGCCTTATTTGATATACTATGACTTAAATCATTTATACAAAACTAGTATTTTATAACTTTTTTACATTATAACTATTCGATTGTTAGGTGAATATATTTATAGATATTAATGTATATAAACACCAAAAATAAAAAGGAAACGATATCAAGTGAGGCACTTTCACCGAGGGTCGTCCCGTTCAGCTTTCGGTCTCTTAGAGGTATGTGAGGCGCGTTTGACACTCCCCGGCACCATCCGGTACTCACGACAGCTACTACGTATATATCGTAAGCACAGATACTACTAACACCATCTCACTCGTTTACATAGCGAGTGAAAGGAATAGTATTGCTATACAAGAGCTAACCACGACGCCTGTAATAAGAAATGATAAGCCGGTGAAGCCGTGGATGACACGGACTACTTCCCACAGATTGTGTTTATTTTTTTCTTGACTTAGGGGCAACGACCTGACTTTGACTTAATGACCTATAAAAATACTGTTTTATAGATGCAACGACACGAATGTTTTTAATGAACTCTACATTCTGTTACTTTATTTAAATAGGAATATTTACATTACAGTTGATGTTAAAATTAATATCCTAAATTAACCATTGTTATATGTAATTGTTAAACTTCCTATAACACTCAATATATCAATAAGCGGGTCAATCTAAAGAACACTTTCCTTAGAATAGCTGATCGAAATATAATACGGCGAACACGAGTGTAGATTACCCACTCTTGTCAATATTAGTCAATAAATAGTCACTTATGTGGATAGCTTAAGGCTTGAACAAATATTGCTAAAGACTATATAGGCTTACGCCATTTACTAATAGAAATGCAAAAATCAACGATTTTTAAGTTCTTTAATGTAAAGCAGGTCGCTGTTGAGCTCAAGTGATATATTTGAGAAGTTTGAAGTAGTTAACGACAAGCAAGTACATTTTTGCAGTGTAATAATAATTTCTCTAATAAACAGTCTCAAGACTGTCCATATGGTATCTAATATACGAGTGTTTTCCATCAAAAGAGTATACAATCTTCATTTCTCATGCTGACCAGACAGCTTGTTGTAGTGTTCTATTCTATTTTCCCATATCTTGGACTTCCCATTTACTATTGTACTTTGATTTCTTAGTCGCCTCTTATGACAGAAATGAAAAGAAACGATAATATATTTTATTCTTACTCCGCCGCCACACAAAACTCACATTAACACAAACAAATACAAATGAATGAGTATATTTATATAGATATAATCGTTATATTATATATTATATTTCGATACAGACTTTTTTAATTAAAAGAAAGTTTGCAATCAGTATAATCATAATCATCTCATTCTTGAAAGTGAGAACGAGCTCTGAATGGTTTCAATGAATAACGTCTTCAATGGCGTGATCTTAACCTAGATTTTACGCGGCGGCAACCATTTACCATTATCGTATGCAAACATCCAGCTGTTCTTCACAGTACGTATCACTAAAATTTAAAATAATATCTCTATAAGATATGCAATAAATCGGTAATTACAGTAACGAACGGATAGTACCTACATATTACTCCATCGCAATATATATATATATATATATATATATATATATATATATATATATATATATATAAATGAAAAAATTAGATCAAATCTTTCTTCTTAAATTTTAAATTTTTCAACCATTTCCTTTCATAAGAACCTTCTCCTGACAATAACAAACACAACAAAAAAGAATTAACTAAATACTAAAAAAAATATATTTTAGCAATTTTAGATCATCTCCTCAATCTTTCTTCTTAAATTTTAAATTTTAAAAGTGTTCTGGAATGCGAGAAAGAGGAGTCCTTTCATATGAACAATGCTTGTCTGGTCTGACCGACAATAACAAACACAACAAAAAAGAATTAACTAAATAGGTCAAGACAATGTTGATTGTTTTTTTCGATGTTCGGGGGATTGTCCATCAAGAATTCGTCCCTCCAGGCCAGACAGTTGATGGAAAATTCTACGTCGATGTGCTCAGACGCCTCAAAGCTCGTGTGGCACGAGTTCGTCCAGAATTGGCGCGAGAGGGGCGTTATATATTTCTCTTGTTGTCCGTGAGTTTTTGAGTAAAAATTCCATTACGGTGACGATTTCATTCTTGTTATCTCCTCATAAATGAGATAAAAAAAGCCATTATCTGTCCTCTGCACAAGAACATAGGCTTTGAAGGGGATAAAATTGATTTACCTGAATAATTGTAAAATAAAATTTTTAAAAAACTTTTATACGTATACAATGCAATATAAGGAACGGTTTTAAGTCACCTGCATCCGCTAACTCTATGTAATGCATTTAAAGTCATCACTTCATCTAGTAGGGGATGGTCCTACACTACATTTGCCCATATGAGGTCGCCACTCAAGAACCTTTCTTTTCAATCGGTTGTCGGTTCTTCGAACTATGTAACCAGCCCATTTTCACTTCAGCTTGTATATCCTTCGGGCTACTAGTCGGTCACTTTAGTTCTTTTGCGGACATCCTCATTTTGGATTTCGTCACGCAAAGAAACCTGGAGCATTGCCCTCTCCATAATAGCTCGCTGAGTAATATGAAACTTTTGAAATTAAAAACAATCAATTACATTATACGGATAACCTGGTAGACACCTACATTTATTATAATACCAATATTATAAAAAGATTACATTTGATATATGTATATATTTTGTAATGGATAGGCACAGAAACTACTGAACCGATTTTAAAAATTCTTTCACATATAAAGCTATATTATCAGAGAGATAATAAAAATATAACCCAAAATTTAAAAAAAAGCTATTACAGCTAACATAAAATACTAATTTAACTGTCTATCTATCTACCTGTACGAAGTTGGGGCAGATCACTAATATTATAATACGTATATAATATGATCTCCGTTTAAAATATATAACGTTTAATAATAAAATTTTAGTTTTATTATCTTCACTTAACACAAATAATTAGAGACCGACGAAAATCGGCTTAGCAACAAATAATAGGTATATACCGCACCTTAATTCAATAGCTTGCACTTTCCATCTGACGTGCCTAACAAATATGGCAACGATCGACACGGTGAGCATACTAATTGACAAATCTGGTTATTCCAACACTAATAATTCCACATTGTTGAATTTAATTATCTATATATTAAAGCAAATTCTCTTTAATGAGATATAGTCGTCTATCCTCTTTAAATTTATGGGACATAAGATTATACATACATTTCATTATTAAATCACAATTGGAATTTCCTAACAGACCATATGGTCTATATTATGTAATAATATATTTTATATCCTTTATATTATGCGTATACATTAATATAATGACCGTGAGATGTTTTAACGAACTCGTTTGATGAGTATTTTAAAGGTAGTTGATAGATGACCCTACCCTTATTTCGTTCTATCGTGTTTAACGAAGGTATATTTGTAGGTACACATGATTTTATTGGTTTATAAAAATTTTATGACTATGGATATAATCTACAGAATACGGCTATAAAGGCCTAATTATTAAAAAAAATCGAGCACTTTAGGAAGATATAAATTTGTACGAATTATAATGCTATTTATTTGTTAATGTACTTTCAAACTTAACTTCCATATAAAACGACAGCTAAAAATAACTAGAACATACTGTGATTCTTAAAAATCTCAAAACTATTTCTATCTAGTATTATTTAAAATAATATATTTATATTACATTTCATTTCGTTATTATTTATTCGAACTATGTTCTTCGGAGAAAGTCGTTTAATTTCACATAGATTATCTATCAGATCCGTTTTAAACTGATATACACGGACCCTTCCCATTTATACACCATGTGTAGGTATGTAGATGACTACAGGGCAATAATCATACATCAAACATAAAAAACCCATCATGTCATATATCTATTTGGCACATGTACTCCTCAGAATAGCTTAATATGTGTAGGTATGAAACCAGTATCGGTGGACACTTGTTCAAATATCTGCCCATGATCAGCATAAATTAGAACCTTGCCAATAAACTGTCGTTCATTTTATTTTTATCTCTATTGCTATGCTAACTTGTTATGTGTATTACTATATACATACTTAAAAAAAATCATAATTTTACATCAATATTCTGTCATAAATATCACTTATTTTTAGAAAAAAAGAAAAACATAAAATAGCGAGCAATTAACTATAGAAATCTACTTAAGCCACCGTATTTATAAAAGTACTCGTATGCTAATATTACAATATTCATTGTAGCAACGTTGTGAAAATTTAAAACAATTTTTTATATGTTAAAATATATTAAAACTCCATAAATATGTCTCCCTTTAATTTTACATATTTTTCATTTGTGGCGAATGATTTAACTTTTTCTTTCTTTTAAGATCATAATACGATTTTCGTAATCATTGTCCACACTTTTTATGAAGAAAATATCTCACGGCGACGGTAGACAAAAACAGTAAGTGTGATAAAGGAAAGTAAAATACATACTTAAAATGTTTGTGTCACTTAAAAATTGTCTTAACGAGATATGATATTTACAAAATGAAAAAAAAAGAGACATTTTTATTTGATTTTCGGAAACTTTTATTCTAGTTTATATATAGTCCTATCATATTCTAAAGTAACTTTAATTTATAAATTTCATTTAAACTATTCATTTAGCTTGTCTACCTTTGAAATGAAATTAATAAGAATAATAATTTAGAGAAATGATCAAAAATTACTGAGACTTAATAAAATTTTTATTACGAAAATCGACATTACTTATGAGACGCCAATTTATTTACACTATGGTGAACCAAAATTGCAAATTATCCATTAACAGGACTTGATATGAAGGTCACTGTGTCTCCACAGATACTATGTGACTAGATTACGCAATATCATGATCTAAGAAGGTGGTCATTACCTTCTTGTGGTTCCAGAGCACGTTGACGGAGGGCTTGCCGCGTCGGAAATCGCTCTGGTCGATGACGTCATCGTGTATCAGTGACGCCGAGTGTATCATCTCGCTTATCATTGCTACGTGCCGTTGAGAAGGCAGCAGTGCACTGAAACAAATAAATATTTACACATTTTAATATAATACCTACTTCCTTTATTAATTTTATCCTATCACCGAAAAAATATGAGTAGTTAAACTAAATTTTTACAAATAACACCGACTTCAATTTGATGCAATGAGTATGGGACTAACACAAGAATACACTCTTTCAGCATCAAAATCGGTTCATAATAGAAGAAGATATCACATAATAATTCTATTCTGAAGTTAGTAAAAACGAGCAATAAGGTCACGACGAGGTTACCGGAATTTGTCGAGGTGCATCATTCTTCATTACAAAGGCAATAAAAAAGAAATCATTATGAAACGAGAATCATAGGTAGGTACTTTGCAAACATTTTGCAATAGATGTAATATTAGGACCTTTAACGATTTTCGAAATGAGTTTGTCTGTTATCTCTTATTTGTAAAGAAGAAGAACAGACTGTTTTTTATCCCAGTCAATTATTATACGTTAGTCACACAACACACAAGTAAAAATTAGTTTATTATTTACAATGAAAAACCAGACAATTATTTTTCTTTCAAAAGTAACAAAAATGATGAAATTAATTATTTATTTGCTTTTTACTGACTACATTTTACAAAGATTATAAAATGATGCAAACAAAACTTAAAACTATGTAAAATTAACTGCGTATCAACTGAATTTAAACTTGAATTTCAAAAAATAATGATGGTTGACCAATGAACTCATATAGGTAATAAATACGATCAATTATCTTATCAATTGCCTCAACAAACATTTTACTCGTAATGTTATCAACAATTTATAGCTAGTTACTAACTGAATTCGACCTGTTTATATATTTTAATACACACGACTATATAAAATCATAGATAATAGATTTTTATGGTATACTAAGTGTAAAATAATATAGTACAAATATAATCAATTTATTAAGTTTAATAATTTATTTAAAAAAATTCGACTTAATGTCATGTGGCTTTTCTTATTATAAATCATTCAATTCGTTTACACAATCAATTATATGACTTTTTATAATTATATAATTTATTAAATTTATAATGAAATACAGAAACACATAATCTCTTAATTATGTATTACTTAAAAATTATTAGAATTTTTCATTTTCTTCTTTTAAATACAATGTGGGATTAATTTTCAAAAATGTCTTCTTTTACTCATCTCGCGTGTACGTAACAAAAAATTTTCTTCTATGATAGTTTATACTACTTAAAATTCTCGATACAGATAGGATTAGGCAGTGCATCAGAGGTTATCTTTTTAATATACTACTAGTTGTACCCACGATTTCGTCTCCATATTCGAGGCATATTTTTTAACCAGTATAAAATGCAATCTATGTCTTTCCCCTTGACAAATATTACGTATCAAAGAATACCTTAACAATAATAAATAAAGATTTTACTAAGCAATAAAGGAGACATCAATCGTGACAAAATTAATATGATATCAACACGAGAGACCTTTATCATCATTCTCTATCGATTGCAAAAAATATTCATAGTTGAGAAAGACATCGCGTAATATCCACACAAAAACATTCTGAGTATTTGAAAATCTACTCATTTTGTAGATTGTTTAAAAAAATCTCAAAATACGGCGAAGATCAAATCTCACTTCGCATTACTCTTTCTTTATATTTAAGAGTTTCCTCTTGTCGGTGCAACTAATTCATGCATCTTCTTCCAGCCAGCTCTATTCCAGGCCATATCCTTGATCTCCCTATACGACATGACACCTAGTGTTTCTTTTATCTGTCCCATGTAGTTATTCCTCGGTCTTCTTCTTCCTCTTTTGCCCTCTATTACGACTTTTACTCTATAGCTCCGTAATTGTAATTATTGAAGTAATTTTCAATAGCTTTAACAATTGGTAAAAGAAAAGAATCACAGTAGCGACTTTTCTGCGAAACGCAGTGAACAGCAATAATTGATAGCAACAAAAAGATCCCTCTCTGAATTTAAAAATAATAAAAATTTACTAATACAGTAAGTAATCCAGTGGTAACACAATATAGACTTCTTTGTCTGATATAAATTATTTTTATTTTTAATATATAACTTCCGTCACATTTATTTTATACATTTATATATTCAAATTAGGTACCTTTAAAGGTGTGAAACTCAAAATTATAATATAAGACGTCTATACCTAAGTAGACGTAGCAATATTACAAAAATACCAATTCTAACACTTCACAAGTATCTGATAGTTTATGGCCGTCATATTTTTTTCACTTCGTTTAAACAAAGCTTCTTCAATTAATATAAATTTAACAACGTCCATACATCAAGCTAACAAATTGCACATTTTTTTGATACATTACACTTCTTACATATGTAGTCGAGCAAATAGCAAACTAAAATATCTTATCGTCTAAAAATGCTTCAAATCGCATGTTATAAAATGGGTATTAAATAATTCTGCACACAGTTTTATCATAACGCATTGATCGTGTTTTAGTATAAATATTCCTAGCATGTAAGGGCAAGCTGCGACGAATCATGGGGAACACGTGAGATTACTGTTTAATAGAGACTTAAGTATTCATTTATTAAAATAATCACCAGACACTGGAATACTGGGATTCCCTAGGTGCATTCCTATGAAAAGTAACAAGATTATTTATCTACATAAATTTACATAATAAGGTCTGTCGGGTACTTTCCGCTCGCTTTTTGTATCTAGCCTTTCATATTTGAGTTTCGCAATTTATTCAAGAAAATACAGTAACGCAATGTACTAAATATTTTGGCTACTGTAATCTTCATCAATAATTTTAATTAAAAAAACTGACTAAACTATTGACGTATAACTAACAACTACTATTAACTATTAACTTAACGAATAACCACCACCTACCGATTCCATTTTTTCTTATAACTATTTTATTTTATCTCTCAAGTTAGAACAAACTTACCCATATACAAAATTTTATTTAAATCGATCGAGCGGTTTCAAAGATTAACGTGAACAAATATCGTGTCACAGAATTTTCTATAATCCACAAGATTTATAAATAAAATGTTATAAAAATAAAGTTTTATTTATTGTTAGAATATGGATTGATTTAATTCGTAAAGCTCAACAGTAGCAACAATAATATAAAATTAAATTTTAAGTAACTCCCGAGCTGATGACCTTGAAAGACCTAAACAGATCTTCATAAATTGCAACTAAAAACCATCTCGATCACGTCAACTTCAACAAAACTATCAAACAAAAAAAATTATAATCGATCTATTTGTTTAGAAGCTACGACACACACAGATATGTCAATCTTATAACATCCCTCTTTTTGCGTCGGCGATTAAAACTGCTAGAGAAACAGAAGTTTCATATTAAAATAATATATATATATATATATATATATATATATATATATATATATATATATATATATATATATATATATATATATATATATATATATATATATATATATATATATATATATATAAATACATTATTTTATATGTAACTTGCAAGTGCAATAAAGAATATATAGTTTTCTATAATAATGGAATAAAAATACAAAAATAAAACAAACCTATTATATTTTTACCTATTTCTAGCCATCTTTTAACTACGCTCGCGAAGTTAAAAGATGGCTAGAAATAGCATTAATATAGTTAGGGATACTTACGAATAGCAACCGTATCTATATCTGATATTTCATTAGTGTTGACCTAATACTGGCTATATTTAATTATTTTAAGCGACTTCCAAAAGAAGAAGGTTCTCAATTCCTCCGTATTTTATACCGTATTGCGTAATGTTCGAAACTCTAAATATTTTGAATCTAATGTGTCTACGGAACTTCTCGTCATTTATTGGAAGTCTGTTTCTTTTTTATGAACCGAAAGATGATTATAATGGAACTAATGTATCATTTAAAAAAAAAAATTCATACCACAGGACAAAATCAATATCATTACATGTACATAAGAACAATGAATATAATAATGTTAGGCCACGCCGTGTATTAAACACGCTGTATTATTATAATTTAATATTTTTTTCATATTAATGAAAAATTCTAAAACTTTATCGTTCGTTGTCCCATGTACCTCTGGGGAATTCATTGAATTTTGCTGATAGACTATTCTCTTAGAATGATACTATTGACTTGACCCTGTATACTTATTAAAAATAACCAAACTAAATAGCCTGTGGCAAAACGTGACAGTGTTCAATTTTGAAAAGATACGCCAAAGACACCAAGGTCGACAACGAGACATTGAACTATGGAGCGTGCGGTTTGATGATCGACTGCAATCCCAAACTATTGCCAAATACAAAATAGTTGAGCAATGAACTCATTGAACACAGTTGACTATGTTATCACAACACTCATCCCGAATAAATGTGTTTTAAGGTTAAATATTTGTTCTTTTCTTGCTTTTGGTGACCACGCCAACGTTTCTATACTTGTACATAAAAAGGCCAAATATGTATAGCTAATATTTAAAACAAGCTATATAATATTCCATGCAAACCATATTCCCTGATCGAGTATTACAATTTCAACACATGATAATATATGGATAAAGATTATTATAATAATGATACATCCTTGTATACATACTAGTATTATATATTTACCTAAATAAATAATAATTTTAATATTTTGAACAAAAAGATCACGCTACACAAAAAAGGCATTATTCTATAGCTTCAGGAAAAACTTAATGACAAAAGTAATAAAAAGATGTTAAGTATATGAATTATCTTCCTAATTTACCAGGAAGAGATCTAGCAGATGAAATAAGCACTAAGTCCTTGTTGCTAATTGAAGTCTTGTCTAGACCGGTATAATAATGTAGGTACAAACCGGATTTTAATAATATCAATATAAAAGAAACACTAATCAGAAATCTAGTCTTGCACTGTAGACGCTAAGAATTGAATTTTAGTAATCCACAGGAACGTGATTCACAAGATTTCCTTCTATTACTATCTAGAAATTAGTATCTAGAAAAGAATGCAATATTTATATATTTACTATAACCTGCTGTTTTAAATCGTCACTTTTATGATTCTACTAATTCGGAATGCTAGTACATGCTGAGAAAAGATCGTAAAAATTTTGTACAATAAAATAATTTTAATATAACAATAACTTAGATCAGAGCCTTTCATAGTAATTAGCAAAAATATTTTGTAATACCTAAGTTGGAATACGTCGAAGTTGTCACAAATAGTGTCGTTCTAAAAATAAATATTAATCATACAAGTATATAAAAAGAATATAAAAATAAATCAGTAAAAGAAAATGATATATCAAATTGAATAATAATATGGTATACATACTTACCTATTTTCCCCATAAACGTGATAATTGACGGCCCTCGCCATCAGTATGGCGACCATTGGCCTTAGAGCTTTCCCCTGGCCATCGAAGTAGTAGGTAGCTATGGTGTTCAATTCTGATTGGTTTGTATTCTTCTCCAGCTCCTGTAGATCAAACAAGCTACAGTCGAGTTGGTATCAAAATCTACATAACATATAATTAGTGTCTTATAGAAAAAATAAACCCCCTTTATAGAAATGGCCAAAAAATAAATATAAAATCTTTATAAAACTTGTATGGAATCAATATATATATATATATATATATATATATATATATATATATATATATATATATATATATATATATATATATTATAAATAAAATATATTGTGTGTAATGTACAAACAAAAAATGTAATCTAATTAAGAACATATTTTTTTAAAATTGTAAGGTCACTAATAGCTACTAATTTTCCATAACATTTTTACTATAGACCTTAAAAAACATATAAAAAAGGTAACCAAAATATGAAAATCAAATGCAATCCTAGCACAGCGCCCTAAAAAAAATATTTATGACATGGGCTTACTTAAAAACGATTTAGATGAGATATTCAAGATGTCTTATAAGGCTACTCAAACTCAAACGCCACTCGTCACTCGTCATTTCGACATAATTCATAAAAAAATGTATTACATAATATAAAATTATCTATTTTTTATCTCTATTTCATAACAAATCAAACAGTCTATAAGATCAATGTATGCTGTAATCTTTATATATCTTCACATATCTAACAATGAATGAAATGAAACTCGTTTTATTTACAGCACATTTTCTTACGAGAATACACCTACGAGTAATACTAGCCTAAATGCGTAGTTAAAAAACTAAAGCAGGTTTTATTTATCTTCCCTGTATCATAAAGAAAGAATACATAATCGAATATTAATGTATGCAAATGTATTTTATATGACCCTGGAATCTCAGATTTTATCACATGAGATCATGTTCTTGAGAAATAAATGTAGCTTCGGATGGGTATTGTTAGGTGGTGCGTAGTTCCGTAGCCTTTATGAGTAAGGCTACGAAATTACGCACTTTATGAATAAAAGATTTTAGTACCTCTAGCACCATAAGTACTTCAACTTGCCTTGATGTTATAAAATTTATTGATAATAAACTGCCAAAAAGTGTAGAAAACAAAAGTTATAATTAAAGTATAGTGCGAGACTATACCTTTTTAAAAATACCATCTGTAAAACTGCTTTTGACAATTCTCTAGATAATAGACAATATTACACAAAACAGTAAGAATTAACAAAATTTTATATAAAAATTCCAAATAAAAATTTAAGTTGATGAAGTAAAACGATGAAGTTATATTGATCAATATAGTAAGAATTGCATATATCAGCGACACGTTGATACCTAGATAAACCTTACAAGATAAAAGTACTGTCATATAAATATATTGAATAAACTGTTTAAAAAAATCGACACGGATAATTATCATTTGGGACCAAAATTGACAAGCAAATTACATACAGTCATTTGAGTCATTTAATTGAATTAAGTTTACATTCTATCGTCAAAACATGGTACAAACAATTCGGCGTGATAAAATCACAAAAAAAAACTGACATAGAATTTTCTTAAAAATTTTATAACAAACTTTTTACAAATTTTGACATTCAATGGATTGAGTATTTTGTACATTATATACAGAGTAAAATTGAAAACATTGCCCTCCGGTTAAGGTAATGTTCTACCAGAAAAACTAAACATTTTTCCCAAAGGAACATGGGCTGAAAAACTTCCATACTAACTTAACACCAGGACACATCTTGTTAGTTAATACTGTTATTCAACAAAATTACTAATTCACGCGTAGGTGCGCTACGCTTTCGTAGACAATGCTACGTCATATAGTATGCTTCGCAACACTTTCGTTAATTTTAAACAGAGTTTGATAAATATTTTTTAATCGAAAGGATTCTAATTTCATTGTATGTTCGTTACATATTAATTTAAATAAAATTGAAGTCTATTTTTTTAATACATTCAATTTCAGTGTAAAATCTGACAATAGGAAAAATCTATATAATATAAAAACACTCTCAGAAATGGAAATAAATTCACTAGACGGTATATTGTGATTTCCAAGGTGTTTTTTGTGTCGTTTCTTTATAAGGTAACCTCTGGAAATATTGTGTATATAAGTGACCCTAAAATTTATTGGAGAAAGTCGCACTGTCTTCGAAATGGGTAATATTTACTATGACATCGCCAAAACAGCTATTCGATAACTTTTGTTATCATTAAAGTATTAATTAATAATGTCTTGATTAAAATACGAGTGTATGTAGTAATAAATTATAGACATAGAAGAGACCGAATGATATATATCCTACCTAGAAAGATGACGAAACTGACGTCAAGCCGAACCGAAATTGGCACAAGCTTGACGCAAGCATCTTCTCGCATTCGTAGACAATGTGACTCTCGGTATTTGTATTGCAAAATCTTACTAAAACTATTATTATTGTCGTAAACCAATTTTATTGTGTGTAGGCAGGATGCATCCACATAATTGCACTCTTTAAATGTAATTATGTTTGAGACTATAAAGGACACATGTTTACGTTGATTACATGAATATAAACATTTATTTGTAAATGTTGACTTAATCATTCTAATATACATAGTACACGAAACTATTACTTTGTTTCAAAAAATTCTTTATTATTACAAGTAGATGTACTGATAAATTGCAGTGTACGTTAACTTAGAAATTATAACCAACCAATGAATGCTTTGGCAAGTTGGTAAAGGTTTACTCCATTCAAAGACAATCTATAAAATATATTACTAAAAATTATAATATTTTATTATAGAATTGACAAACATATACGTGTATATATTCTTGTCGTTCTTTGTTTTGTTATATGCATATAAATAACTATAAAATATTCTAGTCAAAAAATAATTCGGCCACCACTTAATGACTTCCCCTTTGTGATTACCAATTCAAATGCGCCAAATATTTATACGCAAAATATTGTATAAATACATATAACAGAATATTTAAAAGTTTAAAAATTAACATTAATTTATATGGTTTATAGTAGCTAGGGCATTTATTTACATTTTTCAATTGACTTAAAAAAAAAAGGGATTCTCAATTTTAATACAATTTTGTATAATTTATGTAAATGAAAAAAAAAAAATAGTATTCTATTTGCACTAAAGATTGGAACAACCTTAACAGCGATTACCTTGATAATTCAACTTGTCTTTGAGTGTTAGCTAATGTGTGTAGACAAAGTCGTGTGAAATATACTACGCGTTACTAATAACCCTAACAAACGCGTCAGCGACCTTTGCCTACAAGCCTTCGCTACAACATAGAAGGGCATGTCTTTTGCGTCGACTGTTGCTCTATTTATTCTACTATTGTTGCAAATAAAATATTCATACTTAAATTCAAATCATCTTTAAAATTATATACAGATATAAAAATACGTAATTTTTGCCGTTTTAAAATATTAGCTTTGCGTACGATAGATCCGAATACGATATTTTTTTCTATAAGTAGATATTTCTGAAATACAAATATCACATTACCTTTTTGAGTGAACACTTTTACTCACTAAAATCGCGAAACAAATAGCAACTCAAATCTTAATAAAACACATCGATAATAAACGAAATAGTTTTAATTTCCAATTAGCCCACTGAGTCGTGTCTACAAGTAAAAGCTTCGTAATAAGCAGTTAAATAGTCACAAAATTATGACGCATCCAACACTGAAGTAAACAGTATCGACTAAATAAAGAATTATTAAGAACGATTTAAAATTATAGATAAAATCCCATAACATATCCATAAAAAATAGAGACGAATTGAGAACCTTGTGGTAGTCGCTTAAAAATTGTGCACGATGATAATGCGAATTTTAAAATAACAATAATCATGGAATATTTACAATTTAGTACTCGTATGTGCAGTTATATCTAAATGCCTATATAATGTGTATTTTCTATTAGAACCTTTCAGTTATACTGCGACATAATTTCGTGACGTTTACTTATGAACTCTCGTAAATGTCTGCACTCATAACTAATTACATTATGCTTACATTTGCATATCTTTTAAACTTAAAAACTGACCAGCGTCACCTTTAAGGAAGTTGACCTTCCACACAAATAAGAGGAAATATACATTTCCTCTATGCAAACATCAAGAAATATACTTCCTTATCAACATTTCTAAAACATAGTCCACATTTGTCTCAGAAATTTTGACAAGGAAATATATTTTCAATATATTTTAATTAAAGTCCATTTATAAAAAAGGAGGTTTTCAAATCTATAATATTCTTTTTTTTAGGCAATGTCTTCACAAATTAGGAAGCATTTATTTAATAGGTTTATTATGATATTCCTACGTCTTCATATTAATTCCATATTAATTTTGTATAAATCTAAAATTATTATTTAGCTTTATTGAAACGGAAGCATAAAGTCAACAAATTTGAATAATCAACAAGTTAATCTGGAGAATTTGCAAATGCGACAACTTCCCATACCTGTTTATGAATGACAATTCTAAAAAAGATTTTATAGTGCATTAAAATGCTACTCAAAGAATATGATAAAAATAATCAATTAAAATTTTAATTGTAATCATTTCCCATTATCTTAATTACACTTATTAATTAGGAAAATAGGAAATTATTATTTTAAATTGATAATATGTTTCATTAAATTTTGTTGGAAATGCAATTTGATTAGGTTGACAGCGTATCTTCTTAAAACTTATTTAATGTGAAGACCGACATGGTCCCATATCATTTTATGCCGATTAAAGCTCCTGTTTTTCTTTTCGGAGAAAAAAATCGGCTTGTTACAAATCAAAATCTACTTATAGATACACGATTAATATTACTATCATTAAATACAATAATTTTAATCAAAATGTGTAACATCTCGATCATCAATGGTTGATCACAATTGTAAACACTTTTCTTTGAAAAACAAAATGTACTTGTTTAAACAAACAATCTGTGTTGTACCATACCTTAAAATTTGATTTTATGAGGTTACTTGTTGTACGAACCGTAACGCCCTCTTAAAATTTGCAGACAGAAATATTACATATTCGTCAATGAATCAAATGCTGTGAACCTAACTAAATAAGCCACGTTAAAAGATGTTTTAATATATATTACTAACCACATGCCAATATTGTACATATTTCTTCATGTTTGTATAATATATTAGACAACATAATTACTAACAGTTTACATTGTATTTAAATCTTTTTAAGCAATGTGAAAAATAAGGAGCTTTTCAATTCGCATTTTTTTTTCAACCATAAGCAAAATACACACGTATTATATTTATCCGCCAAAACTTAACTTGTTCTATTAGAATTTTTATCTATCACGAATACGAGTAGTAGGTATAAACGATGAATAATTTACTTAGATAAATTTAAATTAACAACCAGATTTTAAGAATGATTAAAAATTTACGATTTACTAATATAGCGTGGTTACTGTACCTTTTACCTAAAATTTGATGATATGATTTACTTTTCCTTATGTGACTCATTTATACGAGTAATAATCCAAATACGATATAAACAATTATATTGTTTATAGATTACTACTTACTTAGTATTGAGTGATTACTAGTAAAAGTCGGATATAAAGAATACCACAACACGCTTCGAACTTTTATCATTGAGACTTTGTAAACTATGACTTTATTAGAAAATCTCAGAATTTTCTGTAGATCGAACTCATTTATAATCAGTTCGTAATATATTAAGTAAATTACTTTAAATAATTATTTTCCAGTTCACACGTTCTTTAAATTTAAAATAGTCACCTAATAATTTTTAATCATATACAAATTCATCAATAACAACACTACTCAACAAATACAAATTTATCAATAACATTACTATCATTCGACTGTTTCTGTATTTTCTTAAAACTATTAAATGTACACGAAAGAAGGCCAACGTTCAAGTTTCGCGCAGTTTCACACGGCGCACTTTCCACGACTCGACCTATCGCAACATTCATTCATTGCAGTGTTTATTCAAATTAAATGTAACGCCCTCTATGACGATGCTAGTTCATTTAAAGATTTATTACGTGTTAATTCCATAAAGACATAAAGTTACAATTTGTCCATTTATAAGTAAACGGTATAGTCAATAGGGTACAAAACTCATAAAATATACAATAATTATCAGAAAAATATTTAATATAATTTTTTTAGCAGTCTATTTATTATAAAATGTAGAAATATGGATATAACAAGTAAGATTATACGAGATTAGCAAGAAATTAAAACTTATCAACTTCATATTTCTTCAAATTTGTCGAAGATACCTACTAACCTATTCCTTTTCGAAGTCGCTTATGAATTAAGTTATTAAAACTACTAGTTTACTTTTACTAATTTATTTAGGCGCAATTGTGTCGAATTGCGTAAAAACAATAACATCGATTAAATACTAAATTTACTAGACTAGACAACAATTTTTTTTAGTCACTCAATCTTTATTCATATTATAAAATATTTCCCAACATTAAGAAAAAACGATCTTCATTCCAACTGATACGGTAATACTACGTCCAAGAAATAAACATTTAGAAATGTACTAGCAACACCATTCTCGCAGGAGGACCTAGATTTATACGAGTTTTCCAACAGAAAGTAGGCAAGCAAGTAGTTGTCACCACAAACACGGTGTAATCGTGAATATAAATACTCCTTATATCCCGCGATATTGGTCGTATAAATTATGATTACATAGTATATGTTAATCTGAAATATGTAGATGGAGGCACTCCGAATCAAAATTAAACCGGAGTCAATTAGACTCAACTTAAAACAATAATTTTTTTCCGAATTAAGTGTTATATTGCAGAAGTCCATATCACTGGTTATTTGATTAGGATTATTTTGTTTAATTTTACCAATCTTCAAGTGTTGGCAGTCACACACATACTAATGGCAGCAGAATTAAAATAATTATAATAAAAAAATCAGTGATAAGACCAAAATGACACATGAAATACCACGAAGAATTTTTTTCCACGAAGGGAACAAACAAGTATAGAGGTCGTCTGAATGCAATTGCCTAATTTATGTAGATGATGCTTTGTCTTCATATTTGGTACCCAGATAGACAATATTCTCGAAAACAGCAGACTGTTTAACCTGGTTCATGCGAGTAAAGCCGTGATATACGGTTAATATTATAAAATAAACAATAAATCGTCAATATCAATAGTAAACAGTGCACTTATCAACGATGTGCAAATTAAACAAACGAACCCCAGCCGCGTGCTAACACGTTGTGACTTTGACACACTTGCCACTCAATGAACACAACGTCCACCAATCATTTTTGCCAATTTTAGTTTGACCATGAACTAATAGTCAATTGATAACTCGTAATGCATTATGTTATGATATGTTTGTTGATAAATGAAAATTTATTAATTTACATTTAAAGGACAATGGCATTGTTTACGATTCGTAAATTATTCTTAATCATTTAAAATAAAATTTGAAAACAGTAATTTAGGTTAGTTTCTATATAAATTACAGAAAGACATGCGGTATTTTTGCCTGCATAATAATATGCTGTATTTATTGTTTTTACATAATTGTATACGTAATTCTAACAGTCTCGACTAAACAATAACTTACACTTTAAAGATGTTTATGAGCAAAAGCCACCTTAAAGGCTGAATAAAGAATTATATTTATTTCTATAGAATACCTGTAATATGTAATCCTTGCTAATACTATGTGAAGGTAAGTTAGTTTGTTCGGCAGCTCTTAGCACCGTAAAGTTTGAACCAATCCCAATTTACTATACATGTACGATATGGGATGGAAAACAACATAGATTACTTTTTATCCCGATCACGTGGATCAAGTCGTGGGTTAAAGCTAGTAATACATACCTAATAACTATTACATAACCTACATTACATTTACATGAATGTAAATATAAAATAACAGTATAATATTAATTTTATTGTTTAGTCTACAGATCTAAGTTATCACACTAGGCCAAAATACGTACAGTAATAGTTAGTTATTTTACTAATCAATAATTTTAAAATATTAGATTACTTTACTGCTGCACTACCGCAACAAATAAAACAAGAAAAACTTTAACCAAATAGACTTATTTACAAGCTCTTTTAAATCGTCGCCTTTTATAATTCTACTGCTAGGTTTGGAATGCTGCCATCTGCTAAGAATAACCCAAAAAAAATTCAAAAGTTACTCTTTTAAATCGCAGTTAACAAATTTGATTTTATTAAAATGTATTATGTTTAAAATAACATTGTCATTCAGCCCGTGAAAATCAACTAATTCCATATCGTTTGTCACTTAAGTAATGGCTTTGTTCAATAAATATTTCTTAATAACACTTTTAAATTTATTAAAACTTACGCCTATGTAATTTATCTTCGTATGCTTTTGCAATAAAATAAATGAAAATCCAAAATATCCTTCGTATATATAATTTTAGACTTTTCGGGGGGCTTTTTATATTTATATTAAGGTAGCCTATATGATATTACTAAATCCATCCAGTAGTATACGCGTGATAAACGCAGACACGGTCTAATTAGTTTTATTATAATGTACAGATTATCAATATGGTTTGTCAGATCTTAACACGAACTAATTAACGATGGTAAATAAAAATATTTACCTCACTCGATGTTTCCTCTATGTTGCACACACGTGGCCACGAACAGTTTGTTTGCTGGTGACCACGGTGACTCTTTCTTTCTGTCGCGTCTCAAACCATATTGATGATTCTAAAATGTTTCTTAAAACCTAATGATTTGGTTTTTAGACCTAGATGTCTCACCGCTCGGATATCTTCATATATTCCATTGAGGTCATCTTCAAGTAAACGATAAGGGTCGACGATCTGTGTGCCGTAGTCAGGTAATGATCCAGTGTTTGTGCTCTGAAGACTAGATGCCAGGCGACGGACATATCCTGCGGCCGCATTGGCACTCGTTGATCCACAAGGCGGGCCACACGTTGTTACTCTCTGTAACAATTAAACATAATTTATTATATTCAATTAACACTACTTTAACAATAACATAAAATATTGTGCTTCTAGCTTTAAATTTCATACATAATCATGGCAGTAAAACAAAGTGATGTTTTTTTTACAATTTGAACAAATTTTTACTTAGGAGAACTTTTATAATACACATGAAACCATTTATCGTATACAGGGTAGACCTACCTGTAAAACAACTATTATAATAATATAGATTTTTTTTATTAGATATATATATAATTACATCTTTAATTAAAACAATATAAAATAAAGTCCCTATCCGCGTCTGTCTGTTGTTCCTAAACCACTCGACGGATTTTTATACAGGTTAACTGTCCATAAATTTTTTTACGGAAAATTTCTATGTAATAATTGCACCCGTACAAAGTCGGGACAGATCACTAGTAAATAATATAAATGAATCACGTAATTGTAAATTTATAATTCCAATGAACATTTGTTGTATATAAGGTCAATCGAGTTTGAATTGAGACCACTAATGACTGTAACATAATGGTCGTTGATCATGATTCATGGTTGAGTAACTCAAATCACAGGTGACCTAACTATGTAACAAAATTGTAATTTACAGGATGCTTTATTGGTGTTCCACTCAGTCAGACTTCTTCATATTTTTTCCATTTAATTCTTTTAAAGAATAATTTGTTGAGCGATTTACAAGACATCCTTAGCATTCTTATAGGAGTTTGTTTGATAAACCTCGCCACGGTATCTAATGTTTGTCATTGCAGTACCTATGTAATATATTATATTCTTACTCCGTCATCACATTGAACATTTCTCATATCACTCATCATACCATAGATGCCTATGAAGGCACGACACAATGCCTTCATAGGCGTCTATGGTAAGTGAATATGAAATCACTTGAGATATATCTAACAGGATTCGCCGTGTGGTCCCGGCATAGAATGGACGATCCCTGCCTCTTCCGTGAGTGTTATAAAAAGGAACTAAGGGAATTTAATGGTCAAGAGATGGGCAGCAGCGTTCCTCTTAAAACATCACCAATTCCTAACTGCAGTTGTTAACCTGCGCCCCTAATAACGCCCCTTATGGGGAGACTTATGTTCAACAGTAAACAGTTAACGGCTGACATGATGATGATGATACCTAACAGATAACCATTACCACCGCCTTCAGACATTAATATCACGGAACTTTCATATCAAAACACTCGGATCAATCACGCATTGAATATTCTTGAAGTTGCACATCCCTCTTAGATCACTAATTTGACTGGCTTTTACAATTCACAATGAAAAAATAACAGTGAAGGATTTTAACATAAACATAACGTTATTTTTTTCTGTACGTATTTTACACAACACCTTTTCCAATTCCAGTTGTATACTGGTAATTTACATTTCATCACCACTAAAGTCGTTCTTGCTTAGCATACTCTTAAATCCTACTAATATTATAATTGTAAAAGTTTGTAAACATATTTAAAAGTTTTATATTTGAAAATCAAAGGGCAGAGTATATTCTAAGTTAACACAAAGGATTTTTCATTTATCGCTTCGTGCGAGCGAAGCCGCAGGAAACAGCTAATTACGTATAGAATCAAACTTCTTTTGTGGTAACATTTCTATAATGAAGTGGCGAAGGGTGCGGCGGTGCCCTTAACTACATGGCGGCGGCAGTGACCGCGATACGGGTTTCGCAATAGGTTTATGCAACTGCAGGCGAGTGCAGTCCGCACCTGATGGGCCCGACCGACCGCGTTGCAAAACCGACACGATGCACGTATGTATTTGCACGTACGATACCATTTAGGAATACCAGAAAATAAAAAAAATACAATTATAAAATATAATATTTACTATTTTGGAGACGGAACCATGATCATCACGGTGTATTCTGTGATGTTTATGATGACATTCATGTGATAGACAACAGTTACCACTTTCCATGAGATAGACTGCAGACTATTTGCCATTCTAAGTATAAAAAATACTTAATAACAAATTCTAATCCTTACTAATGTTATAAAAATCAAAGTGAGTTTGTTTGTTACCTTATAGGGCCTTAACGAATTGACCAATCAATATGAGATTTGGTATATATGTTTAGTATACATGATACAAGAAGAAGGATATAGGCTACTTTTTATTCTGGTCAATAAACATATACAGATTACATGGATGAGGCCGCGGTTAAAAACTAGTATTTTCATTAATTACTATTACAAATTGTAAATTCTCAAAGGAACAAGAGGAAAAACTCCATGTAAAAAATTGCGTATCAAGTTTTGGAAATCATATAAATGGTATAAAAAATATATCGTTTTACTGTTTTTGTACCATGTATAATACGTATAAAGAAATAGTAAACAAACATTTAATTATCTTTCGTTTTTTCCTCATTATTAATGTAATTATTATTAAAGGTACATCCTTCCTACGAATAACCTTTACTATGTGTTAGTATATTAAAATTATACCGTAACTAACCATGACCAATTACCAACAGCTAAATTAAATTAGATTGTAACCTACTTTTTAAAGGAATAATAACATTGAACGTGGTAAAATAATATAAATGTGTCATTAGCAGTAATGAAACTAAATAATCTTGCGAATCACAGCAGAGATAAATTGAAATTAGAGCATATTTCAACATTACATACTCGTATATACTATTGCTACAACTGAAGTCGGTTTTTTTGTAGAACACAATCTTATAGTCTATGCTTTATATATTATATATGTATTATACTTAATAAGAATAATAAAGTATTTTATTAAATAACAATTTAAAAACTGCATTATTAATAAAAATAATCAGTAGTAAATGATTCAAATCTAAAAAACTCTAATCTAATCACAATTATTCTGATTATAAATGTTTGCAGTCCATAAAGAAGTTACGAAGATAATGCTTTTATGGTATTAATCCACCATGTACTACTATATACTCAACAAATAGATTTATAAAAAAAAAACAACAAGAATAAAAAAACAAAATTTATGTTATAATCAAATATAACGAACATTCTATATAAAAAAAATCTTATTGCTGACAATTTTTCATCTATCTACGTACGAAAAAATTAATCTTGAGTTTTTGTAAAACTATCTAAATACTATATTAAAAGTAAAATAATATATAATAATAAATGTAAATATTAATGATATATATGTTACATTTAACCGTTTCATTGGTTTCGAATATGATAAGCGTCCTTATCATATCAAGTTATAAGCTCTGATTTTGATTAGTAAGTAGAGACATTACCGTACTATGACGATAGTAAAAGTATATATTTTTGTATTGATAATTTTTAAATATAATTATTGCAACTTATATAATTGCTGGGCTATTATGATTTATTTTGTTGAAGCTGGGGATTTTTATTATTTAGTGGAATTTGGAAGTTTATAGCCATGGTGATATGCCTTGATACGACGAAACCTGTCAGGTCATAAAATTTATTGTGAAATAATATCTTGTGTCAATAGTACATGTGTTCTGACTTATAAAGATAAGTTTAGCAAAGGCAGAATTATCACATTGCGTAACAACAAAGTTTTCGGCTACATCCTTAATTCATAATGACGTTTATATGCGTGGAATAATAATTACTTCCACTCGATTTCACGCGCGTCAATGTAAGAGTACACTTTATACAACGAATAATAGCGATCAGATATTCAATATATTAAAATATAATTTTCATTTATATTTTACTAGCTGTGCCTGTGCCCGGAACATATTCATTTGATCGAGGTAAAAATAAGTCTGTCTTTTTCCATATCAAACTTCATGATAATTAGTGGAGCCTTTAAAATTAAAGGAAATTTATTTTTCATAACAATAACAGTATTTATGCAAAAACCTTAAATATATAAAACTGTATAATATCCTAGTTTACGCGTAAAATTTTTCATCGTATTACACGGAACCTGAGGAACCATGGAATCTCCGTGTAATTTAGAAATATATTCAAGATCTCTTTCTGCCAAATATCCAAATAAATTCATTAGTTTTATTACGAAAACATAACGCTCGGACAGATATATAAATCTCTTTAGCACATAATAGTTAAAAGATTTTGAAGTTTTAATAAAAAAAATACAATAATAAAATATTTGTTATGAACCTCATTTGAGGTCTTAACAACGAAAATCTTGAATAATTTTTTCTTGTAATAAAAATGGGATCATCATAAAGATTCATTATTATATTTTTCCGCACGTTTCTACATTTGTGGCCTCAAAACTTACAACCGACTATTTCACCAGTCATAAAATTATCGTTAGTCATAAGTTCTGGACATAGGTTTACGGCAAGATGCGCCATATTGTTCACTCTTATACGCACATCCATTCATTCCAACAATTATGCACAAATCATCATGTCTTCAAGCTAGAGGGTGCCCCACACCGTAGTATGATTTATTTTATTTATTTTTTAAGCAGACAAACATATAGCTTTAACAACACATATGAGACAATTATTATTAAATACTAATAATTATTAAATACTATTAAATAATTTATCAACCAATAAAGTTTACACAGATATTTATAACAAAGAAAACATACAAAAAAAAAACTAATGAAATTAATTAACATTTTTGACAGATAAAATACACGTAAGATTATAATTAAATAAGTTAATAAAGCAATTATGAATGTTATGCGTACAATAGGTTCTAACTAAGAAAGAAACGATTTATTGCAATAATTAGTTTTTTTTACAAATTGAAATTGATAAATGCGTTTGGTGCGAATACTCAATTTAGGGTATTTAAGCGAAATATTCCTCAGCAGCAACCGCGAATCCGTGATATTATTGAAAAAATTATATAAATCATTACTAATATCACAACAGTTTGGGCTCTGTATTCCGTGTTGTGTGGTGTGGTGTGGCCCATGTTGGACCAAATACAGTCTTTACTCCACAACAGTTTCACAACGGTCACCGGTTCTGCGACCAATGTAATGCCACTTCAC